ACACACACACACACACACACACACACACACACACAAAGCAGCAGCAGCCGACACCTGTAGCTCAGGTAGAGCGAGAAAAGCTCAGGTATCAACAGACTATGCCCCCTGTTACCATAACGACACAACTCCTCATGTGACTTTAACATGTGACCCTCAGCCCAGACTCTGCCTCCTGATGACCAGCGTCCAGGATCTGTCGGTGACATCACATGCTGAGTGACAGTGTCAGGATAGGAGGAAGAAGAATGAGAAGAATTTATTTATGAAACATTTTAAAAAGCTGTTTAAATATCTAGTTCAGTGTAAAGTAATGATGAATCCAGACGCACACACAAACACTGGAATTAAACTTATTCTGGTAAAAGTTTAAAAGCAGAGTGATTGTCCCCCAGTGACACAGGACCGGTCCAGCACACATGAAGAACATGTGTTCTACTCCCAGACGAGCTGACACCAAACCTCTCAGACAGAAGAGTGGATCAGTCCAACCATTTTGTTTTTGCGACTGTTCCAAATTGCCAGTTTTGCACTAACAAAAAAGAACTTTAAACCAGAGTTTGTCAACTCCCGACACAAAAAAATCGCCACTGATGAACAAAGGCAAGTTTGAAAAAGGGTTTTTGTCAGTGGCAGCACTGTCTCCACCAGCCTGTGCACCTGATCCGTCTTCTTCACAAACAGAACCATGGAGCAGCAGCATGTCCATTCAGCTCTGCTACAGCCAGGGCAACATCCTCCCTGTGATAACATGGAGCAAGTTTCTGATCTATACTGCAGGCAGACACCAGGGGGCGATGAAGATGATTCAGTTTACAGGAGCTGTCATGTTGTTCAGATTCATATTTGGATCCATCCAGGACGTGGCCATGTTTTTGTTCATGTTCCTGAATACAGTACAGAGTTCTCTGGCACATGAACGTAGCCTCCCCCCACTAACTGCTTAATATGACAAATTATCTCTGGACGTTTAAGTCTTTGTCCACAACAGGACAGGAATTCTTCTTCTGCTGTCGAAGCCGACCCCTGCCTTCTGCTCCTCCCTCTGCTCCTCCCTCTGCCCCCCCCCCCCCCCCCCCCACTATAAACATGCTGGAGCTGGCTGAGGGGGGGTCAGTGTGAGCAGCTGAGGAAGGAAGACGAAGAGACGAGCGAAGCAGAGAACATTTTCAGTGAAGATGAAGGTGTGTGTGCTGGTTCTGGGTCTGATCCTGGTTCTGAGCCGGTGTGAGGCCCGCTCTCCTTATCAGGCTGTTTTGCAGCACAGCCGCATCCGAGGCCGCCAGCAGGGGTGAGCTCACATCTGTTTATACATCTGATTAACTATCTGATCAATTATCAATCCATCACATTTTACTTGTATTGTCTCATATTTCCAGTTTGTCATTGATGTTTACAAGGAGCAACATCCTCTGTTCTTAACTCAATAAAAGTAAAACTTTATTACCAGTAAATAAAGCTCAGGATCCCTCTCCCAGGACACACTGATCAATTATCTGATTTGATTTCATGTAACCACTCAGAGATTCATGAATCAGTTAACTGTGTGTGTGTGTGTGTGTGTGTACACGTCTGCAGCACACACTCTGACTCGTGTGTTTGCTGGAAGTTGTTGAGATGATGAAGACAAGTTGTCCGTCCTTTGATCCGCCATCTCTTTTCTCTTACAGACCAAACGTATGTGCAATGCAGCAAATTAAAGGAACCGACAGAAAATACTTCACCAACTGCAAACAGTGGTACCATCGCAAGGTCTGCGGCAAACCCACGTGAGTCCTTCATCATGTCTGTGTGCTCCAGTGATTGACCACTGTTCCTCTCAGAGAACCGTCGTCTATCAGTTCCACTGCAGAACCTGTGGGGTTCTCTGACAAATCAGCTAATGGTCAAATGACCAATCATTTTGGTTAATCACTGATCATCAATAATTTACCTCTGATGCTGAAGCATCTCACATGATGATTCTGATTCTCTCTGCTTGGATGTAAACATCATGTCATTTATCAGCTGAAACAAATAAATATAAAAATATTATTAGTTTTAAGAATTCTAATGATCTAACATTATATCTAATGTTCTATGATGTCTCACACACACACACACACACACACACACACACACATACCCTGCTTTAATCCTGTTCACCTCATGCAGAGTGTGTCACAGCTGCTGCCAGTGCCTCATTACCAATGTGTGTGTGTCTGTTGTCATAGAAACTCTTGGTTCCTGCAGAGCTGAGACAGTCGTCTCTTTCTCTTTTCTGTCATCTTCTCTTTCTGTCGTCTCTTTTTCTTTCTGTCATCTTCTTCTCTTTCTGTCTTCTCTTTCTCTTTTTGTCTTCTCTTTCTCTTTCTGTTGTCCTCATCTTGTCTCACTTTCTTTCAGTCGTGTCTCAGTCTGTGATTGGACAGGGCGTTGAGCGCAGTTTGTAAACGTCCTCAGAGTCGAATGTTTCTCACAAACAGACTCTTTCAGGAAACTGGAAACTAAGGAAGTGAGAGTTTCTCACACACACACACACACACACACACACACACACACACACACACACACACACACACACACACACACTGTGAAAACACTCAACTCATATCACTGACAGTTTTATTACATTTACACTCATGGTGGGGGGGTGTTTGGAGTGTGGACTGTGTGTCTGTGTGTCTGTGTGTCTGTCTGTCTGTGTGTGTGTGTGTGTGTGTGTGGGTGTGTGTGTGTGTGTGTGAGAGAGAGAGAGAGAGAGAGAGAACAGTCCTGTCTTTGTCTCTGGTTGTGTATCAGTGTGTTTCTCTGGAGGAGGATCAGCAGGTCAGAGGTCAACAGAAGGAAGACTCATAACCCCCCCCACCCTTCCTCCTTGCAGACTTCTGTCCTCGTCTCCTAAAATTCCTTTACCCACAGAGACTCTGTCCACACTGAAGCGTCTCTGGTGAACGTGAACGGAACACAGACATGTTCCTGAACGTTTCCTGCAGTAAAATGTCTGGAAAATGTCAAAGTGAGCGAGTGGACGTGTTGATGACGGCCAGGTGTTCCACAAGGTTCAGTTCTGGGTCCTCTTCTCATCTGTACCTTTATCGCTTGTTTCCATCACAGCAGACTCAGTCACTCTGTAATACTCTGTTTATCGACACTTCAGCTTGTTGACGTTATGAACGAGTCTTTGTGTCGTCTGTCTCCTCCGACATCACACAGCATCCCTGGAAACGTCATTTCACCCTCATGAACCTTCTCCTCAGGTTTATTGTTTTAATCTTCAGCCATTTTCCGTTCGCTTGAATCAGGAAGGAGTTTTTATTTTCATCTGAGAATCAGAGTGAAGGACGACGCTGTGCTGCAGGAAAGGTTTTTCACTCTGTCAGACATTAGAGCTGTGTTTTTCTCTCTGGACGCTTTGGAAGTTTCCCTGCAGCGGTTCGACCCCAGCAGCTGAATTACTGCGACCTCGCTCTGTTTGTTTTGTCAGAAATCCACAGCGGCCATCTTTGTTTATGTGGAGAACAAACGAGAGTCGAGTTTCCATCTGGTTTGATAATCAGTCCAGTGTGTTCCAACACACACACACACACACACACACACACACACACACACACACACACACACACACACACACACAGTCAGTAGCTGATCTCCATCTGTTTACATTTTACTGACGTTGTGATTGGACGCTGCAGAAGCTGTGGGAGTTTTTACCCTTTTCTGTCTCAGATGGGAACTTTGATTAAAGAACCAGAGACTAGAGACCAGAGACTAGAGACCAGAGACTAGAGACCAGAGAC